GGGATTTGTTCGACTTTTTGCGTGAAATTTGTAACGATAAAACATATTTACCCGGATTTGAAGACTTGTATATTTACCTACTGATCTCGACCTGAGTGATGAATTCCGTTTGCTTATAGTGATTTACGATGGTGGCTTCAGCTGTGCCCTGTGGATATCACGGGTGAGCAGAAAGCACATCAACATCTTTCACTGCGTTCTCGAAGGCAGATCCCATGGCAGTGGTCTCGTAGACGCTTCGATGCCGTTGTGAGTGCTTACTGTTAAGCATGAGTTTCTAAATGTCTCACTTGAGCGTATCACTGGACCATATAAAAAAATACTCTATAAGTTTAAGAACAGCAAGCCGTTTGTAGCATCCATGTTGATGGGTACCTAAGCAAGTTAAGGTGACAGAGCACGCTACAATGGATTATATCATTTTGAAACACAGTTTGAAAATCTTGATAGTTTTGATAATTTAAAATGCGACTCATGCATCGCGGTAGCACAAAGAGCTTCATGTCGAGGGTTTGAGTTTGAACGATCATGCTGGTGTTAACTTCTAATCATTACCAAGGCAGTCAGCACAGGTGCTCCATTTTAGTGATGTTACTGTGATGTTCCAGTAAGCGGGCGAAGCAGTGCCGGGTCTAGTTGTAATCATATTTTTTCAACTTCTCTGAATTTGAATGAAAAAAAAACGCAACGCATTAAATGAACATAAACAGAATCAAAGTTTCTTCTTCCTCCACTAGGTAACAAAAAGGCCCATTACAAACTCCAAACTTTTTTTTCGGAATATTTTCCCACTAACTGCTTTCCAGACGACTGTAAGCTAGGAGGACGCATATTCTAGAACATTGGCTAGTTCTAGAATATCTTGTTCGATATCTTATTTAGCATAAGTGTATCAATACTTTGATACTTAATCATGTGCAATTCACAGGCCGGTTCATCTGCTAAGTAGCTGACAAATTTTCCTTTTGCCTTGTCCAATGCAGCATCGACTAGTGATCAATCTTTTTACAACGTTTTTATTTATTTGGTCTCCCGAGAGAAACATTTGATAAGTGATTGTGGGTAGATTCTTCTGAGTGATTTTAGGATGTCATTAATGTCTTTTAGAATGCATTAAGGTACCTTAGAGACTAAATCTTTTGTCATTCTATTTAAATGCAGAAATGGATTAGTGAAGTGCAAAAACGTAAAGACAAAGGAAATGTGCAGATTTCTCGCTGAGTGCTTGAAATTCATAGCACACTTGCTTTGCAGGCTGTTGATCCGGTGTTTTTGAGACAAGAACGTCTTGAAGGTGTACGCGCAAGGTTTTTCGGTAATATGAATCGTGCACAGACGTTTCCCAGTGCGCCATTGTCGCAATCCAGCAATGTGCAGCAATTTAAAGTATGTGTATCAAGTAATGTGTATGAACAAAACTAAGATTTGTGATCAAATCTAACATTTCCGGTGTTAGGGGTGATTTCCCTTGGAAGTGCCAAAGCTCCTGCACCTGATTTATGATGCCTTAAATTTATCACAGTACCATGTTTGGAATTTCTTTCATCTAGGCTGATTCTGAGACTCAGTGAAATTTTGGCAAAAATGCATCACAGGATTTTTAACTTTCAGTTCCCTTAATTTAAAAAGATGTTGCTTGCGAAAACATCGCTGAAAGCACTTTTCCCTGTGGTACCTGCG